AATCCCCTTCCAGTCATTTAATCCCGTTTTTTCAGGATAACCGTCGAAGCACCATGTTTCCTAAGGAATGTGGATCTCCATGATGACTTGATCCAGTCAGTAAGTATCTACAGTCGGCATCATTGCGCTACAATGAGAAGGCGACACGACATGAAAACCCTCTCTTCGTGGCCGCCAGTAATTACACACCCAATCCTGTGGACCGAATGGTAAACAGTCGATGTCATTACAGATCCTTCCGATCCATTAACGGTGGTTTTAGGTACCTCAAGCACCGTTCACCGTCCTCGTCGAACCCGTCGCTTGCTCGGCGAGTAAATTAACCCACAGATACAGCCCACTGAGTTTCTCGCCGGATTTTCTCAGTGGGTCGCGTTTTCGATCCGGTGGTAGATTCTGCGAAGCACTGCTCTTGCAAGCTCACCTACACCTCAAGGCGAAGCTGAAATAGCCTTTCAGGGCTATCAACATAGGTAGGATAAAAAGTTTATACTTTGTTTTGTGAAAGATGAACATTTGTATGTATCTAATAAAAATCAGGTATTCGACATTACAAATAAAAACTTCAATTTTATTTGTTAAATCTTTATCAAATTTTGTTTTTAAGGTAACAAAGAAGCTATTAGCCGGTCTATAAATCAGCTAATTAGTGACAAATCTAAAACCTGTGCACGATGTGTATACGAGTACATACAAACATGCCGTTTTATTTATTTATTTGTTTGTTTTCGAGATGCATAGCGGCGGACGTACGCTTTGTTGTAACATGTTTGTGACCCAGATACGAAAACCGCATCGTTAGTACGAACGTTTGCCAAAACACTCGGTCGAGTCCAAACATTGAACGATTTGTTCCGCGCAAACAGATATTAACCTAATGTTTTAGTTATAATTTTTTTATTGCATATATTATACGTGGAAGAGCTTATAGCCCACCTGGTGTTAAGTGGTTACCGGACCCCATAGACATCTACAACGTAAATGCCGCCACCCACCTTGAGATATGAGTTCTAAGGTCTCAGTATAGCTACAACGGCTGCCCCACCCTTCAAACATAACGTATTACTGCTTCACGGCAGTAATAGGCGGGGTGGTGGTATCTACCCGTGCGGACTCACAAGACGCCCTACCCCCAGTAAGGCATCTGTGTGTTTAAATGCTATTAGCTCCCAGCATTGTTGACGTCGGTAAGCCATGGATATCATTTGCAATCAGATGGGGTATATAATAAACTGCCAGCTGTATCGATAATAAAAAAGTACAGATAGGTGGCTATTTCATAACGCTAATTTTATTAGAGAATTTTTTGGAAAAAGGCTGTGGAGGATCTGGCCGACTGGCTGTCGCAAGTTTAAGCGCGACCTTAATGAGCTGGGGGCAGAGCTGTCGATGGAAGTTAACACCTTTCGGGTCTTCGCCTGAGAGGAACGGGTTCAGGAGATCTCTCCGATTCATACGGTTTTTGATTATATTACTTGGTAGGCCCATAGTAGGTATATCCATATAATAATTGAAACATTTAAAATAGAGCACTACTTTCCTATTCTCATAAGAAAGATAAGAGAAGATAGGGTAAATTAAATGTGGTTAATAAAGATTTTTTTATTGATGATATCTTAATTAAAAGAAGGGAGAAGACATATTGCGCCGACCCCAGGTGATTGGGAGAAGGGCAGCAGAATGACGATGATGATTTCATTAAAACTAAATTTTTTTTGGAGCGAATACTATAACTTTCTTTTAATTGATCTATGTGGCCTATACAGCTTGAAAGTTTAAAAATCTATACAAAACTCTATCATAAGTGCTATAAATAAAGGCTAAGAGGAAAGGAACTTACATAGGCGGCACTGAAAATTTCGGGAATTAACGAAGTGACACAACATTACTATTTAAAAATGTATTTATTGCTTTTCGAAGTATTCTCCGCGAAATTTGACACATTTTTCCATACGATGGAACCAATCATTGAAGCAACCATTCCATTCGGAAGTTGGGGTCTCCAAAATGGCCGTTTTGTAGGCGTCCAGTGCTTCTTCATGTGATGAAAATCTCTGTCCACGCAATTAATTCTTTATTTTAGGGAAAGTATAGAAATCATTAGGGCTTAGGTCGGGGCTGTACGGCGGATGGTCTAATAATTCTATGTTTTCTTGCTCTAAAAACTCTTTTGTTCTGTGCGCGGTGTGAGAACTCGCATTGTCGTGATGGAGGATGATGCGGCGGTTGCATTTCTCTTTACGGAGTTCAGAAACGACCTGTGGCAAACAAATGCTAGCATACCATTCTGCATTAACCGTTCTTTGTCCCTCAAGAGGAATAGTCGTAACATGGCCGGTTTTGGAGACAAACGTGGCCACCATTTTTTTTGCAACTACATATATTGCTACTGGGTTCCATAGACGACGCGGCGCGAAGTAAACACTTGAAACACGTGTATACTTGAAGTGGAAGTCACAGAATTTGGGGTAATACACTAGCGAGTTACAGTCCGTTCTTAATATAGTTGAATAAATCACGTTTTTCTGGAACGCAAAGAAAACCTGAGTATGCTTGTAACTTGAGTATGCCCCTGGCATTGCTGAAGTCCAAGAGCGACGATAACCACTCACCATCAGATGGGCCGTATGCTCATCTGCTTACAAGGACAATAAATAAATAAAAATAGATCATTTTCAAGGGATTATCCACAAAACTGCTTAACATTAGACAGGGTAACAGATGTATGTATAAGATCACTAATGCGACTTTCTATGCTGAAGATTCCAAACGAACGCGCGTCGATACGGCGATGTCGCAAAACTCTAAAGCTTTTAGATGGCTATGCAAAGTAGTGAGTTAATATTTTCTGAATGAGGAGTGTGTGAAGTACTGACAGTTGGCGACAAGAGGACATTAGCAATGCATTTTGCGATGCATTCATTTATATCTCTCATGACGATTTCACCAGCACTGCTACAATTCAAGAGAGTTCTCGTTCCACATGGTACAAAATTTTTTAAAGCATAAGCTTTTCCGTAACTTTACTTTCTTTGTCAAATGATTTATAAACCTTGGGATTATTGTGATCTACTTTCAAATATAAGTGTTCTTTTTTTTTTTGAGAATTAAACATTAAAACTTTTTGTACAACTTATTTATTTTACCAAAAAATACTGTGGTTACAATAAGTTTTTCTTTTTTTAATTTTAATAGTGATTCACTGTTCCGTGTGTTACAATATCTTTTTTTTAAAATAATGATTGACTGTTCCATGTACAAATATAATATACAGCAGCAACACAAGACAAACGACGTGGAACTGGCTTTATACACAGAAAATTTTAATGCAATATCTGACGGCCAAGAAATCGTTTTTAATTGTACAAAATGAGGACAGCCTTTGGGGTTTAGTTCAAACAAGCCCAACCGCAATTGGTAAGGTAAATTAAATATTGATAATTCAATCAATAAAACAACAAAAATTCTTCTTCAAAACAAAAAAATATACAAAAAATATTCTTCAGGCCACGACGACTTCGTATTTCTTTCTGTTCAAGTAGGTATTGACTTCAATCATTAATCATGACTTCACCGTCAAATCGGAACGCAATATCACTACTGAGAAGCGTTGGCTTTGGTTGGAAAAACGGCATGTTCTTATGGTGTTTCTCCTCGTTGTTTCTGCAAGAATAATCGTGTTATTATTTGCGTTTATGCTCACATATCGGAAAACAGCTAAACGGCATGTGAAGCTAACTAAAAAATAAATAAATCTTAGGATGGGTGAAGTAGTGAACTAGCTAGTGATCTATCTGGTGTTAAGAGGTGACCAGAGTATATAGATATCAGACTTTAAAGCCTTGTCCATTATGAGACATGACATCGAAGATCCGGTTGATTCGTATAGTGGCTGTTTCAACCCTTCAAACCGGAGAGCATAATTGCTTCGTCGCAGAAAGAGGCAGGTCGGTGCCACCTACCCGGACGTATTTACATTACACCCATCCCATCATTAGTAAATAAAAAGAAAACAAAAGTAAAATGATGTACCATCATTGCTATTTCCGAGCTGACTTGAGCCAATGTTCCTCGAAGTTTAGTAGAAGTCGAAATTAAACTCGAATCCTTCGTCTATGTTTTGTGTGACGCACGACGCCACCACGGAGATCAATTTCGAAGAGTGGAACATCATCATATTGTGGTCAGTCAATCTGGTTGATCAGCATGCTGTGGAATAAAACAAATATAAATAAATTACCCCTACCTAACACGGCAAGGGAGTCAGGGACGCAATTAGAAACACGCATGAATCCAATTAAAATCAAATGTAATCAATTGAAATTGAATTCAATACGACGTTTCCAAAATACCTCTTCAATTATCGTACATTGAAAACCGATACAAAATAACGCTACAAACATGTTTTCACAAAATACACGAAACGCTACACAACTACATTGCGGTAGTAAATCATCGTATGCCCTGTACGTATTGACGACAGGTGAAATATTATCCTATGAATCTCATAGGGATGTAATGCTTCCACGAACGATGCTTTGTGTTTGTCTTCATTACATAATCCCTTGATGCACAAAGTTTTATCCATTTCCATTATTTTCTTGTGATTTTCACAATAACGTTCTTGGGTGTGACATATGTAATGAGTGATGCCGATGTTAAAAATGGTGACAGGATCATCTCGAACAATTCCTCAGAGCACTTTCCATGGCACGTGCGGTACCAAGCTCCACTCCAATTCCTGAAGCGGTGTTCTACGTCAGGAAAAGACAGAATTTTGACATGGACCGATGCTTAATGAAAATCGATGGGCTGAAACTGAAGATTGCGGATTAGAAGCTGCCCTTTCATAATGGAATGATTAGGGAGATTATCACTAACCTAATATTAAGCCGTCACCGGAGCACGTTAGCATCACAACACAAACGTCGAAGATCACCTTGAAAACACACGATCGAATTCTCAATTGAACTTCAAACCGTAATGTATGATTGATGATTGTTTTCCAACGAAAAAAAAAAACAGTCTCTGGGCCTTTATATCATCGGCAGTTAATAATAATTTTATACCCCGAATTTCAGCGGGATTTTTCGACAAACGGTTTATTATAGGGAATTGCTGTAATATAATCCAATTCAGGGTCTGTACTTAATCTAGCTGACATACCTTTGCGTCTATGTAGCAGTTGAATTGTTCGCACTTCAATCGAAGCGCCCTAAAAGCTATGCTAAGTATACGGTGAATTGATAACACGCCTTATCATCAAGCCGGTAAGTTTCAAATTTTATAAGCATTACTTTTGAATATGTCATTCGGAGGATTACTATTTTTTTTAGCGCAGATGAGAAGTCGAGACAGAATCTCATATCCTCGTTTCTTTGATCTTACCATAGTTCTATCTCGGCGAGCATCCTACGCTTGGGCAAAAAGCGAAGGGTTTTTAACACACATATCGACTCGCACAGTCCAAAATCAGCTTATAAATAGTAATATACAAAATATACCTTAACGCAGAGCCTGTAAATTAATATACGTATAGTGAATGTACAAAAATGATACTTTTTTTGTAGTAATACATCACCGTTTGCCGTCACAAGATGAACGTCGTCGCTGCGTGAAGTGTCACGCGCCAGTACACACGGTCGACGCGAATGCAGAGCTGAAATAAGTTTCGCACAGCTACGCACAAATGTTGGCTTAATCACTACATCATTACAGTCCCTAAATTATATAGAACTCGATGTTGGACGACCTCGTTTCGATCAAAATCCGGTATCGGCTCACCTTGAAAAAGAAAAAAAAACATGAATATTGCATTGCAAAATTATTGTACTACAATGAAGTCGTCGTGGCCTAACGGATAAGACGTCCGGTGCATTTGTGTTGATCGATGTACCGGTGTTCGAATCTTAGGCGGGTACCGATTTTTCTAATGAAATGCGTACTCAACAAATGTTCACGATTGACTTCCACGGTGAAGGAATAAAATCGTGTAGTAAAAATCAAACCCGCGAAATTATAATTTGCGTAATTACTGGTGGTAGGATCTCTTGTGAGTCCGCGTGGGTGGGTATCACCGCCCTGCCTATTTTTGCCGTGAAGCAGTAATGCGTTTCGGTTTGAAGGGTGGGGCAGCCGTTGTAATTATACTTGAGACCTTAGAACATATATCTCAAGGTGGGTGGCGCATTTACGTTGTAGACCTCTATGGGCTCCAGTAACCACTAACACCAGGTGGGCTGTGAAATAAAAAAAAAACATATTTGTTTATCAAGAAAAAAAAATCTAATCTAAAACTTCAGTACTATATTTGGTTCGGTTGTTAGTAAGAACTAGAAAAATATTACAGGGGTGCCCAGCTACTGGAGAGAATTACATGAGGATCCAGTTCAATGTGAGTGGAATGTGAGTCGTCTTTTTTTTTCTACCTATTGTTGTGACCTCGAGGAGTCATACTCATGCTACCGTCATTACATACCAAGCATTGCTCATATAATTAGGCACATAACTGAGTTTCACTCATCATCATCATCATCTCAGCCTGTCTACTGTCCACTGCTGAACATAGGCCTCTCCAAGTGATCTCCAGTGCGGCCGGTCCGTTGCCACCTATAAGAATACAATGTGTCACCACCCCTATACTATCCCAGGGAGTCGTAAGAACCGACTAAGAGAATATGCACAAGACATCAGTGCAAGAGAAGAAAAACTCGAAATTAAACCCTGTACCAACCCGTCTAGCCAGCGTGGTACAGTAGGCTAAATACCTCCATAGAAAGTAACAGAGAGAGTTTCACTAATGAAATATAAACGAAGCAATTTTTAATCGGATCAGTAAAATCGACGCCACTTCGATTTCTATAAACCGGTTGAATACCAATTGTGTTTTATTTACACGTTGTGTGTGTTGTGTGACTGACATCGAGCCCTCTTACGCATTAAAAAGAAATGAAAAGGCACTTAACGTCAAGACAGAAAATAACGAAGGGCCACTCTTGTAGATTACAAGTCAATAAATATAGGTTCGAATAAATAAATTAAATTACATTACGGTTTCGTATGAACGCGGTCCTTAATGCGGTACTCAATTCCCCGACATGTACCGCTCGTAAAACGTACCTCCCGCGACACCAAATTTATTATTTTCTCATCTATCTACGGTAATGGTTTTAAATCGTCGAATCCGCTAGTAATAATTGCTTGGGACACTAATCGTGCACTGCATCCGCCGTAGGCAGATTTCAGTTAATTCGTCGGCCACTTCTGTTCCAATATTCAGTAGCTATCATGATCATTATCCCACCACCCTGCCTATATCTGCCGTGAAGCAGCAACGCGTTTCGGTTTGAAGGGTGGGGCAGCCGTTGTAACTATACTTGAGACCTTAGAACTTATATCACAAGGTGGGTGGCGCATTTACGTTGTAGATGTCTATGGGCTCCAGTAACCACTTAATACCAGGTGGGCTGTGAGCTCGTCCACCCATATATGTAATAAAAATTTAAATAATTTAGACGTATACGCTCTCTCTGCACGTCATGAGCCACATACGAATCTGCGTTCTCTCGTCGCCTGTCCCTTAATAATACATCATGTTTCCGCGCGACCCGATCGATACCGCGTACTCCACAACCTTTGCTCGCTTTGTATTCCTTCGCATTCGACAAACTTTAAAACTGTGTTGATTTTCCGACCGCAGCGTATCGCGTTTTGACTATTTCATGCAAACGAATCAACTGTAATACTTAGTTTAGATTAGACTAAGTACTTTTTTAGTTCTATTTCACACCGCATACCAGACTTTAATGTTAGTCAGTAATTTCGAAAAAAATTCTATGTACTTTTGAAGCTCCTAAGTAATTTTTTTTAAATCTGTTTTGTAGAAGTCTTGTCATATAATAAATTATATTTTTATGGCAGGCAGCGGCTAGACTCTACCCCTGGGATTGCTGACGTCCATGAGCGACGGTGACCACTTACCATCAGGTGGGCCGTATGGTCGTCTGCCTACAAAGGCAATAAAAAAATTGTTAGAAGCAATTACGATTTTAAGTATTAAATTTAAAAAATCCAAATCTTGTTGATTTGCCCTTATCGTTTTCTCTGTAAAGTCGAGATAAATGTAAATACAAATACTATTGTGGCATAAAGCGCTAACTAAGCAGTTGTTCTATGAAAACTGAACCCTTTGGTTTTAAATCTCAAGGTGGGTGGCGGCATTTACGTTGTAGATGTATATGGACACCGGTAACCACTTAACACCAAATGGGCCGCGAGCTGGTCCACATAACTAAGCAATAAAAAAAAAGTGACTTAAGCAAGAACATATTCGTTCATCTCTTTTATGTGTCTAACGTAATTTGCGATTGGAACATTGCGATTCGCTTCATAAATTTCTCACGCTATGAACTTAAATGGCTGCGAGTGCATCTACTAAGCACGAGTGTGCGCCGGCGTGCGGGACCAATCTATGTACTCGTAGATCAAGTCGCGTGAGTATCGAGACGGTATAGCACGACGGGCGGCGCGGGCGCTGCCGTCACCTTCCGCTTCTTATGTAGTCGTACAAATAACGAGTAGCGTACCGTATAGACGCAGCGCAAGCCCCACGATATCGATCGGGTGCTCCTTGCGCCCAAAGTAGGGTCGTTGGTGCGCGCGGATTCCCGCATCGACCGTGCAAGTTGAGAAGCTTAAACGCGCGAGTGCCGCGGTCGCGCTCGCACCGCCCGTAGCTCGTAGCTCGTTCGCGCCCCATGTGCCGCGAGATCGCGATCGTATCGATCCGAAGCGGCGTCCGCGGCCGGGCGATGTACTGCAGTTAATCGCGCGACGGATGAGGCGGCCCGACCTCCACCGCTCCGCTCGGCACACCGCAACGCGCTTCCGCCTCACCAGGTACGATAAAATGCCGCATTCAATATAACGCATGCATTCACCGCGGCGCGTACGTGCAATATTTACTACGATGCGGCGACCTAGATACGTCTAGGCAGGGGTGAGTTCGCGTACGCTGGTTGCACTCTGTGTCGATCGATCGAGTCTCCGATTCGTGGAGAAAGTTGTCGGTCTTATTAAAAATAAAAGTGTGTGAATGAATCGAAGAATCTGGGTTGAGAAGAACGTCGGGCCGGATTAGAAACAAGAAGACGCCAATTGAAGCAGTTCGGCATGCACAAGTTGAGTGTCCATTGAATTTTGTGCTTTGCTAATCGATTGTGAGCTTGCGATAGCCGGTGGCGAAAGAATTTCATGCCTTGCGAAGGATGCGCTTCGTGTGTTTCAGATGTTGCCGCCGCATCGTTTCCCGCGATCATCTCCGTGGGACTACAGTTTCGTGCGGTAAATGAGCCTCCTTCGGTTTGTGGGTCACGCTGCCGCCCGCTGATGACGTAACGCCGCTCCTGCAACAAAAGGACGAAGATTTGAATTTGCTTTGCGAATTATTAAAGATACGCCCACCCGATCATTGAGAATAACTGAAAGGAAATGTCGGATTTATAAGAATACATTTTTAGTTTTAAATAATAATGTTTTTTTTTATAAGCTGTATTTTAAATACGTAACATAAAATAAACTAATGACTTGTTCCATGGTTCAACCAGTACTGATAAGGTTATAACTCTAAATATAAAAATTAATTTAAATTACATAATTTAAACAAATAAATAATGGACAACGATGAAAAATGTCTTGACTTCGTAGCATCCCGTAGCGCCGTAGCTCTACGCAGCAGTAGTCCACGTGCTACGATTGTAAATTAATCGTAGCAACCGTAGAAATTCGAAAAAAAAAACGAATATCAAAAAGTTTACTGGTAGAGTAGTAGTAGGACGTCTTGTGAGTCCGCACGGGTTGGTACCCCCACCCCGCCTATTTTCACTGTGAGGCAGTAATGCGTTTCGGTTTGAAGGGCGGGGTAGCCGTTGTACTGTAAAAACGGACACCTCAGAACTTATACCCATTTACGTTGTAGATGTTTATGGGCTTCAGTAACCACTTAACATCAGATGGGCCGCGGGCTAGTCCATCCGCCCAAGCAATAAAAAAAAATTTCAATCAATCTTACGCATTACATAAAACAGTACCTAGCAAACAATATAGGAATGAAACTATGAATGGAAAATTATACATTGACAAACATGAATAATTATGATACTTGAATAAATCTTGATAATATGACAGACGTATCTCACATACATTAGTCATATTATAATTTCCGCACCATAAAATTTGTTAACAAAGACCTCATTCGAATTAGTTCAATAGCTGGGCCTCGAAAAAAAACCCGCAATGTATGTATGTTTTCATCAAAGAACTTCCAAAACTGAGGCTTAATTCATAAAGCATTAACAATTGTGATCGAAACACGAACACTGTGAAATAAGTTCGACAATATTTATTTTAAGGCTTCACTCGAGCCAGTCCGTTAGTCGTACCATATCTCAGTAGACTAGTTACTTACGACGTACGTTTCAAAAATTAAAATAAATTGAATCAAAGCTTCGAAAATCTATCAGTTCTTAAATTGTCTTAACGCAGGACACAGACACACACAAATATACAGAGTATCTACGTTCGTGTATATACATAACACTCACACACGTACGTGTTCTTTGTTGAGGCACCACGCGATAGTCCCGAGCGCCAGCTGTACAGTTCTAACGTTTTCGATTACAATCACTGATTACTGGTAAAATATCGATTCAAGGTTACCCGGGTGCCAGGTATTAAATATGGAACAGGGCGCAGGGCGCGCATCGCGGCTCCGCCGTCTACGATGTATAGAGGACTACGGAAGTGCATCGGCTCACTTCAGTATGGCCGCGCAGCGGGGCTGTGGGGGCGGGGTGAGGGGGGCAGCAGTGCACCGCTACGCGGGGGTACCTCAATGAAGCTCCTCTTTCTAGGAACACTATAGTATTGTATACGTGAACCTAGTTCAAGTCTATGCAGTACATCAACTTTGACTAAAAACCCAAATTCGAATTGCATCACTTACATCTTACGCTTACACTCGCTAAGAGCTCGATTTCGTTTTTATATTGTTTCTTATATGGATGGTTATAACATGTCAATTGTTACAATAGTTTGCATTATATAGCTGTAATAGCATTTAGATCAAACATTAGATCGTAAGCGACGTACAAAATGAATTTCATGTAAATATGAGATGAAAACCGCAACAACGTTTTTACTGTCGTAAAATGTTCCGCTAGACTTGTTTGTACTGCATCGAAAGATAGAGCCTCCCTTCCCGCGCGGAGGCTGTTGGGGGAGGGGAGGGGGGTCGGGGGTGATGCGCGCGCATACTTTCCACGTGCCCTGCGCTGAATGTAGCCAACGATCCTATCTCTACTTTAAAAAACCACGTGTCAATTTAGACATTTCAAGAATGATTTTATTACGGTAAATGCTCTTGATAGGATACTGTGAGATCCTACGAGCACGTACCACCGTTATACAAAACACCATTTTTATGTCCCGTATACTTTGAAACTTCTTTGTTTCGGTTCATTTAGCCAGGTAATTAATATTTGGTGCGCTTTTTTTTTTCGCCAGTAAAATTCGTAGCTCTTATAAAGCAAGAAAAAATATCAATTAAGTTAATATCTACATGTTTACAGTAGATCACTCGTCGTGGTAATTCTGTTAATAGCATTACCTACAGTTGTAGTTATATTGCTCGTTTATCTGCAAGAAGAAGTCAATAAATTCTAACAACACATCATTATTATTTATTCAGAAATACCAAAAATAATGTTTAGAATTAATGTTTGCAACAAAGAACACTTTATTTTTATTTTTCGCGAGACAAAACAAAAGCAAGCGTGCTTTGTTCTGATCATATCAAACTAGATACGCCGCTAACACTTGGAGATAGATGTCCTTGCATTGTTCTATTCGTTCGTTTAATATTATCACTTTATTTTTTATTTTATTTTATTGCTTAGATGTAGTAACGAATATGCTTCGTGAACGCAACGTGCTTCATCCTTTTTAAATTACAAAAATGACGCGAGTGAAACCATAGGGCACGTCTTAGAAGCAAGTCGAGACTTAGAAGCACCCGGCACAAAGAATGAGCTCGTCCGTGCGGTTTCAAACCAACAAAATATGAAAATCTTTTCAAGGAAATGAAGCGAATATCACTACTGATTATTCACAAAGCGAGTTTAATGATGGATGAGATACCAGGAGCGTGGGGCGTCCTCCAACCAGGTGGACCGACGACTTAGTGCGCACGGCGGGAAGTCGTTGGATGCGGAAAGCGGAAACCGCATTCTGTAGAAGGCATTGGGGAAGGCCTATGTCCAGCAGTGGGCAGATAAAGGCCGATGATGATGATGAGTTTAATGAACTGAAATTATCGTAATGAATGTTAACAAAATTAGACGAACGATGACAGAGGTTTAAAACGAATCGCCGAGATTAAACAGCCGTCATAACAAACGTATTATAGTTTACCACAATATTATTTTTAGAATAAAAACTCATTCGGGCGTAAGACGAAGAAAAATTCACGTCCACGTTCCATTTCACGGTACGAGGTTTATTTTCGTCGGTGGCCTCACACACTTACGAATATGCTTTATTTACATATGATCAAAGTTGTATTTCGACTGTTTCCTTAATGCGATGAAATATGTTTTCCGAGTAGGCTCGTCGTCGATTTCCTTTTATTTTGTTTATCAAAGACGTCGGAAGGTTGAAGCCGTACTTGACCCAATAACTTCAAAGATTAGAGATATTTTTTGAAAACAACAGAGATATTTTTATTATTTGACTGTAGACTGATCAAAAATATTACGGACTGGTATATACCCCTTAGACCATCAAAGATTAGGTAGGGTAGTAAAAAAAAAAGGTAGAGACGTGACGTGCCATCCGATTACTAACTTAATTATTTTTTAATTTTCATTTTAACTTTTTTTTTAATGCTCAGATGGTTGGACGAGCTCACAGCCCACCTGGTGTTAAGTGGTTACTGGAGCCCATAGACATCTACAACGTAAATGCGCCACCTACCTTGAGATATAAGTTCTAAGGGTCTCAGTATAGTTGCAACGGCTGCCCTACCCTTCAAACCGAAACGCATTACTGCTTCACGGCAGAAATATGCAGGGTGGTGGTATCTACCCGCGCGGACTCACAAGACGTCCTACCACCAGTAAAACCAGTATTTCAACTTATCAATGTAGCTTGAAGTGAAGCAGTAATGGGTTTCGGTTTGAAGGGTGGGGCAGCCGTTGTAACTATACATGAGACCTTAGAACTGATATCTCAAGGTGGGTGTCACATTTATGTTGTAGATGTCTATGGGTTCCAGTAACCGCTTAACACCAAGTGGCCTGTGAGCTCGTCCACCCATCCAAGCAAAAAATAAATAAATAAAAAGCTTAAATTATTTTACAAACCAATATACAAGTTGCTTTCGTTCCGAACGTTTCGTCAGAAAAAATCGGCTTGTTGTGGATATATCGGGGGACGCGGCTCAAAGCAATTGCATTGATCGGTCATGCGAAATTGATGGGTTTTTAAATGATACATCGAATCGAATGAACGAAATACGAATGAAAATCGATGTAGATTTATTAACTGAAAAAAATAAAACAGTTTAGTATTTAATGAAGATAAATAAGTGTGTCCTGCCCAACGCCCGTGCTCATATTTCGTGTAAATAGCTTCAAAGTTGAATGCACGTTGCTAGTGGTTTTAATGTTAAATCTTCGATAAGATGTGTGTATATTTTAATGATAAGAAAATTAAAATGATTAACATTATTTTTCTGATTTTTTTTCTTCATCACATACTTAATTCAAATGTATTCATACCGTGATAGGATCACAGCCTACCCGGTGTTAAGTTGTTACTGGAGCCCATAGACATCTACAACGTCAATGCCGCCACCCACCTTGAGATATGAGTTCTAAGGTTCTGTAAGTTCGCAGTTCTCAGTAAGAACGCTCATTTTAATAATTTAATGTTTTACATATTACTTAAAAACGAGCGCCATTTTCAAAATAGTAGTAACTGAACTAAAGAGAGTCCATAGGTAACCAAGGGGGTCGGCGGTTCATCGTTAGTATCAAAAGGAAGTCCGTGTTTTAGTGGAAAACTACTTTTTTATAATAAAATTTCATTCAATTAATGGTTTATAGTTAGTTAGTTTGTTAATACCACCGCGGCATTTTATTTAAACCGGTTTCACGTATAACTCAACTGGGATCTGAATTTTAAAAATATCAGAAAAAAAAACCTACAAAATATGTCTTAAAAATTTCTTAGCTCATGTCGACGGAGAATGGAATATGAACATTAATTTCTAGTGCACTAGTGTCAACTTAAGTAAAGAAGTAAAATCTTTTTTTTTAACTCAGTTCAAGGAATAAAAACTGCTAACAACAGCTGACAATTATATAAATAAGAAATCAGAATTCAGACGAATGACTTAACGAGTAATAACCTCATCATTTCCTATTCAAATAGTTCAAAGTTCACTCGCTTATTAAGGCTTACTTAATCCGCTCCAAATAGCTTCTAGGAACCTGCTTAGCGGTGGGATTAACTGTATCTTCAGTATTATAAGCACCATTAATAGATAAAGTATAATTATAAAAGATATAAAATGAAGTAATGCCGTAATTTGTACTTTTTTTTAATTATTTTTTTTTTTATTGCTTAGATGGGTGAACGAGCTCACAACCCACCTGGTGTTAAGTGGTTACTGGAGCCCATAGACATCCACAACGTAAATGCGCCACCCACCTTGAGATACAAGTTCTAAGGTTTCAAGTATAGTTACATCTCCAAACCATAGTTGTATCTCCAAACTCGATACAGATTAGTTATGTATGTACTCGTACTTATTTGCATTTCGGCTATGCGAGACGAGCCTACAATGCGGTGGATTAGCATAGAACTGACAGATTTAGAAGCTTGAAACGAGCATGCCTATAGTGTCTGACTCTTTTTTTTATGTTTGAGAAGTTACTAGTGGCCTTCTTTTTTTTTCCTATCTATTCTAGTAACCTCGAGGGGTTATTCTAGATTCGCCGAGCTAGTAGATGAGTTCACGGGGCTCAAACCTGACGACGCTACTAATACGAACCCTAACAAGAGCCGTGCTTCGCAAAATCTACCGCCGGATCGGGAACGCGAGCCACTGAGAAGATCTGACGATTTTTTTTTTTTTTTTTCGGTTTTTATTTTTTTTTATTGCTTAATAAAATCATTTTTCTTACACTATTTTTAATTCAAATTTATTAAAATTTATTTTCTATGTTATAGTTGGATTTTCGATAAATGCGTATTTTGTTAGTTTTTTTAAACTGTTATTATTTTTCATTTTTTAGTTGGATTTCAATTTCACAATATATTTTTTTCAATTTGTTTTAAATATTGAATTGTCATCGGTCCTTAATAAGTATACCAAATTTCGAGTTATCCGAAGTTTTGAAGTGGGTCAAAATCATGTTCAAAGATTCCGTTACAACTAATAATAGCGTATTAAAAAACGGACAATTATAACTATAGAATATATAATAAATGTAGTTTTAATTACAAAACGCTATCTACCTCGAGAATCCTCGATACAGTACAGGCAACGTTCAGGGAAACTATTGAACCTGTTCTGAATTGTGACGGTATGGCGAACGGGTCCTTGTAAGCGAACAAACCTATGAACTGAATTGAATTCAAACCAATTCACCTCATCGGCCACTCAGATAGAGTTCCGCCTTAAGAGTACTCCACTTCAGACACTGGTTTCAATGGCCTC